GGCTAAGCATCACAATATATAGAAGTGTCCACTGTAAAGCACATTACAGCTGCTAGGTAAATATTTGTTGATGAATCAAGCTGGAGGGGTTTCTGATGGCGTGCCCCTGTCTCACTCAACATTTCTTCTCATTGATTCAAATGATGACTTATGAGTCTTGGTATCAATCTGCAGAAAGCAAAACTTGGAGGGAGAAATGATACATTCAGTGAGAAAATCCAAGATTTGAAATGAAGCCAAAAGTTTAGAATGATGGGCCAAAGCCTAAATGAAGTAAAAAGAGACAAATGCAAAAGATTCATTAGGTCCCTAAAAGCAAGTGACATGGGTGATCATATATCACTGGTATAGGATATCTATTGTATTGGAAGGGTGAAAGTTCTATTTCCTACATAAGAGCAGTAGAAACTCAATATGTAGAGTCAGTGGGTTAACAGCAACATCAGAAGAGACAAACAATGTTGGCTGTATTTATATTCACAGGACCCCCTACAGAGCAGAAAATCAAATCAAACCTCAATCAAATGGAACCATAGACCTGGTTAAGATGGAACTAAGTGGGTATACTCTAGGTTGTCCTAGTTCAGGAACTCCTTCCTCAAGTGAATGGATTGTAATATGAAAAGCCTAGAATATCAATAATTAAATGGTGGAGCAATATGTGGTCTAGCTGGTTTCACTATGGAGTAGTTATGGGAAAGGGACTGTGCAATGGACAAAAGGTGAGATCAAAAAGAGATGGGAAAAAATGTCATGAAAAAGATAGATAGGGAGATTGCTTTAAAAAGACTAAAGAAACAAACCACACGTAATGGGAGAACTTGACTGAACCCTGGTTTGGGCGGAGCCATTATAAAAGACATCAGGGGACAGTTGGAGAAATTTGAGTTTGGGCTGGAGATCTGATGACATTAGAAAATAATAGCAGATTTCTTTGTGTGAAAATAATTTTGGTTTCTATTACAGAAGTCCTTGCATTTAGGAGATCTTTCTTAGATATGAAGGGTCATGATGTTTGCATGTTATTTTCAAATGGATTAGCAAAAGAAATATATATGTTCACACACATATAAAGATACTAGGGCTCAGAGAGATATTTTTAATTATGGTCACACAGCTGGCCTATGGTGGAGGGGCAAGGATTTGAAACCCAGAGTCTTGACTCTAGGCCCCCAACTGTTAACCACAGCACTTGGGTTGGCATCTGTTAATTATCAGGCCCACCTCAGCCCCATTTTAAGAACAATGCTGACAGACCAAAGGAAATGAAGAATGGGATTCTAGAGATCTTATCCTATGAAAAACACTGCGATTTATTTCTGTCCTGGATAAGAGTGACTTGGGAGAATGCAGTGGCTGTCAAAGATGTTACATGGCCAAGCAAAGAGGTTTATTTTACAAGAAAGATAAAAAGAAGTGATAGAGTTCAACATTCTATGGATGCTAAGCTACTAGTGTGGTTTCCTTGGTGAAGAACTGACACCCTGACACTCAGCCTTCAACAAGCACAGGTCAGAACGGTGTTCTACTCAGAGACACTCTCTCCCTCCCTCTTAAAATGCCTGCATTGCTGCTGAGACCTACTTAGCTGGTACCCTCATCACTGCTGGTTTCATGATTATAAATTTCACATAGCCTTAAGGTCAACGTCCACAACATATAATTTACCCACTGTGAGTGAACAATTTGATGGTACTTAGTAAATTTATAGTTGTGCAACCCATTAACTCAATCCTGTTCTAGACTGGAACACTTGTAAGATGGTTTTTGCCTTTGCTTCCTTCCCTCTCCCTTTGCCATCTGGGGAAAGGGAGTGGGGAGAGTGGGCAGTGTATCTGTCTTTAGCAGATTACAAGGCAGCAGTTGTTACACAGAAGGAAGTGGACCTTGGTTCCCAGGCCCATATTTGAATCACCTGCATGTGGTCTTCAGCAAGTCATATTATCTTTCATTAACCTGAGTTTTCCCCCTTTGTAAAGTAGATATAACAGGAGCCTTGAGGGGGTGGTGGGTGGGGAAAGACACACCACTGACAACACCAATAACAACATGCTCAATAAATGGCAGCCATGATTGCTGCTGCTATTGCTGTCCCCACCTTTATCATCATCATCGGCAAATCTCCACTGCTATGGGTGCCCGGTTTGCCTTTTCTAGGCACATCCCTGGCTGTATCGCAGTTTTCTGAATCACTCCTGGTGTCCAGTCCTTAGCCCAGGCAAGGAGAGGATTCCCCTACAGCTGGAAACCACCTAGGCCACTCCAGCCAGGGCAGAAAATGAGGCGGCTAAAGGCAGCTAGGGTGGAGCAGCAGCACCATCTAGTGGCACTGAGTAGCAGTAAGCAAGCACTGGCCAACTATAGTAAGGTAATCATCTAGACCAACTGTGTGTGTGTGCGTGCGTGCGTGCGTGTGTGAGTGTGTGTGTAATGCTACACATCAGAGTAAAAGGAGAGGATGAGAACAAAAAATAGAGAAGCCAAGTGTGGTGGCATGTCTGTAGTCCCAGCACGCAGGAGGCTAAGGCAGGAGGATCACCATGAGTTCGAGACCAGCCTAGGCTACATAGAAAGTTCAAGGCCAGCCTGAACTACAGAACGAGCCCCTATCTCACACACACACCCCCAAAAGAAAACTACAGGAGAAGAGTTCTCAGTGTAGTGTTTCTCAAGAGACTACGGGGTGGGCCAGGGATTTAGCTCAGTGGTTCTGCCCTTGCCTCGCAAGCTCAAGGTCCCGAGTTCGATCTCCGGTACCAAAAAGAAAAAAAGACTATGGGGTAGTGAAAAAATAAAGTTTAAAAAGTATCCCCAATCCCAGCCACCTAGGCTAAGGCAGGAGGATCACAAGTTTAGGGCCAGTCCTGGAAACTTAACAAGACTCATCCCTAAATATCTAAATAAATAAATATAGTTGGGGACATAGCTCAGTGATAGACCACTTACCTAACATGTGCACCCTGGGTTTAATTACTTAAAAAAAAAAAAGCCTGACCACCAAATCCATAGAGAAAGTAAATCAGTGGTTAAAGGTTGTCTACGGCTAGGGCTATGAAGTCATGAAGGAAATGGGAAAAATGGAGAGTGACTGCTAAAGGGTACAGGGTGTCTTTAGAAAATGTTCTCAAAATGATTATGATGCTTGCACACAGCTGTGCTTTAAAACAGGTGAGCTGTATGGCATGTGAATTATGTCACAATAAAGCTACCACCAAAAAGTTTTTTAAAGTATCAAGTGTCGAAAGAATAAAAGACTCTCCATAGCATATCATCAGATTTCCTCTGTACTTCTGGACAACTTGTATCAGGTACCTGTGAAGGACCCCAGGTCACTTGAAGGCAGGGATGGCGAACCTTTTAGAGCTTTCAATGAGAGACACAGACCCCTCTGGCACTCATGCTATAGGTTTGCCACCACTGCTTTAAGGTGTCATACAGAAAACCCTTTTTGAAATTTACCCCTCCAGGGGAGGGGAAGGGAATAAAAAAGAATCAAGATGTGTTACATACACATTTCAACTTGCAATGATGAATGTTAGGTACTGCAACCATGTACTAATAAAAAAAATTTTTTAAATACCCATTCTGTCCTGAGTAACACCATATGTAAATATTCCCAGCCATGTTAACAGCATTATTTATGACAGCTCAAATTATATGCACTGTAATATACAGAACTGAATCTCAGAGCCTCAACTGTTCAATTTATCCCATATTTTGGTTATTCACAAAGAGCTATACCTGAGGCAAGCCTGAGAACTGCCATTTCCAGGAAAGAAAGTCAAGGGTCACAGGTTGAATAGTCCAGTTAGTGAATGGACAGAGCTTCAGGGAACTGATTCCAGCTTCGGAGCTCTTCCTCTTCCACTCTTTTGATAAGTAACCACAAACCCTTCTTTACACCTGCTATCACTGCAATCAGCAGCAGTACCCCTTCCCCTCTCAAGGTAGTAAAGTCCACAGCCACCTAACTAGGAGTAGTCTTTCCCTGGGGCTCTGTCTGTCCATTACTCTGTAGTTCAGGACTGATGCTGTAGATGGTTCTGCAGCACCCCAGTACTTCTAAAGCACCAACCCACCTGCTCCCCAGGCCCCTCACTTGTGCAGAGACAGTGACACCAGAACACAAATGTGACCTTACCTCACTTCCTCCACCCGACCCTCACTCCACAAAAAGCAAGCTAAGTACTGGGTAGTGGACACAACTGAATACAGGGCTTCTTTTGGTGGTGATGGAAACGTGTCTAAAATAGGTGGTGATGGCTGCACACTCTTTAAATATACTGAAACCCACAGAATTGAACAAAAAAAGAGAAAAAAGGGAAGAAAAAAAAAAGAAAACAGGGTATGCCCCAGCAGTGTGCTTCTTATGCAAGCATCCCAGCTGGTCTTATAGCACTGAGCATGGTTAGAGAGCACAGAGCTCTCCACCTATCAGGTGAATACAAAAAGTGGGAAAGAGATGTCCTCCTGCCCTCCCTCACTTCTATTAACAGTGCTGGTCAGTTTGTGGCCAGTACTGCTGTTCACATTTGGATACCAAGAGATCCCAGGAAAAGAGAGCACAGTATTCAAAGGAATGTGGCATTTAATCCTCACAGTTCTATGAGGTAGTACTCCCATTTAACAGTTAAGCAAACTGAGTTTCAGAGATATGAAGACAGTAGAAGTGACCTGGGGCCAGCAGCCAGAAAACAATACATCCAGGATATAAGCATGGCTCTCAGGAACCCAGGTCTTTGTTCAAAATCACTGAACGAAAGTGCCCCATCTCTTACATTTACCCTGACTCCCCAGTTCCAAAGTTACAGTGTGAAAGCTACAGTGAAAGTGCATGGAGAAACCCATGAGAAACACAGCTAAGGCCTAAAGGTCAGGGAGCACCTCCAGGTATTCCCTATACACATGTCCTGGTTGGGGCAGAGGTCCAAGAGAAAGTGTGAGATGAAGAGAAAGACATTTTAAAGTAATTTAAGACACCCAGAAGTACTATACATGGCTGTCCTTCCAAAGTAAGTCCTTTATTGTCCAACCAGTCAACAAGTGTTTAATGAGGCCTAGCACCATAGCAGGTACAAATGTACTGAGCACAAATACAAAATTGTTAAGATACAGTCCCTGCAAATTTGAGGCACACACAATCTAAATATTTCTCAAAGAATTATTCCATGGTAACAAATCAAATCTGGATTTGCCACTGTTGCAACGAGCATTCTTTAAGGTTAATGTTTTAAAGAAAAATATTACACCCCACATTTACCATTGCATGAAATTTTTCCCTAGTATAACTTGTTATCAATAAACAGTATTTACTTTTATTAAAAATTTACCTTATACCCTCCCATCCCTTTAATTTGAATCAAGATTTATTTTAAAAGGTTAAATAATGGGAGTGCTTAGTTATCAATGTGGCTGATGGTTGTCTGTGCAAAAAACCTCAGACTGAGGGAATCCAGCTCATCTCTAGGCCATTTTTATTAATATTTAGAAGTTAACATAAAGCATGTTTCCAAAGTTTCTAAGACATTTTTGCCATCAAGAAAGGGAGTCAGTTGGGCTGGGGATTTAGCTTAGTGGTTCTGCCACCTGCCTTGCAAGTGCAGGGACCCGAGTTCAATCCCCGGTACAAAAAAAAAAAAAAAAGAAAAGAAAAGAAAGGGAGTCAGTGCTATGGAAAGTGGTCTGGACAAAATATGTTTTTCACAAAAAAATTTAGCACCAACTGGGGGACTATACTAGGAGTTGCCAGGAACTTCATCCCCAAAATTAACTTCTTCAATCTCTCATAAAATCTCAAAACTTACAGGTGTGTAGTTCTGGGAACAGAAACTAACCAAAAGCTTAAGGTCAACTAAGACAGCTATACATGATGACAGAAACATCAGCCAAGTGTGAGCCTCCTGTTTCACATCCAGAAGCTTCAGCACAGACCAGAGAAGTGGGGGCAGCAGCCTCGGAGCCTGAAACCTGAGACAATGACACCAGAACATAAATGTGCCCTTATCTCACTTCCTCCACCTGACTCTCACTCCACTATGGACCATGGGGCTCTAGGAAAGAACCTTGGTCTCAACCTGGGTGACTCCCTCAAAAAGTCTCCATTTGGCAAAAAGAAAAAGAGAAGGGCTGGAAAATTTTCTACTGTTACTGTCCTGAAATTCTAGCAAAAAAGATCACTGATTTCTTTAAGTAAAGCATGTTCAACAGGGAGTTGGGGCTAAAATAGAACTTAAGGGAACATTCCAATCTGAACCTCTTCACACTTGCAGTAGGCAAGTACCTTTTTTTTCTTGAGGACCTTCTGTTTAAAAACACTGAAAAATGATGAGCTGTAGGGTTTACAGTAATGGGAAAGGATAATTCATTCCTCCCTTTTTACAAAAAGATACCAAAGTCTAACAGGACTCCGGGTGTGCAGCGATACAAACCCAGGACTACAACAACTGATCCTGTCCACATTCCAATTCTCCTTTCTACCCTGAAGACTACTCTGGCTATCACAGACCAGAGAGCCCCCTCTCTGAGTTCCTCCACCAACTGCAAAAATGATCATCAAAGCCACTGAAATGGAAAATAGTGTTTACAATGTAATACTGGTTTTCTTATAGCATGTATAAGGCACGGTGTGAGAAAGCTGCCCCTACTCCCAGCCACACAGCCACATGGGCTCCTCATTCACACACATGCACACAGAAGAGGCCAGCTGATTTTGTCACAATCCACAAGGAATGAACTGCTTCTGGTCACTTCTGGTTTTTCAGTTGGTTGGAGAGCCAATCTAGGCCTTCGTAAAGCCCATCTCCACTGGTAGCACAAGTAGCCTGAATATACCAGTTTCTCTGGCGAAGGGAATGTAAGCCAAGCTTGTCCGTTATTTCTGCTGCATTCATGGCATTGGGAAGATCCTTGGAAAAGAATGTGCAAAAGTCAGTTTATCATGCTATGTCTACACAATGAGATATGCTCTTCCTCCTAAAACATTCCCTAACCCAGTCTTCTCCTCCTCAGTTGTTCTGGCCAGAAACCTTAAAATCATCCTTAATTTTTTCTCTCAAACCCACTGCCAATCTGTCAGGAATCCCAACAGTCCTACCATGAAAATATATACAGACTACTTCTCACCACCTCCACTGCTACCACCCTGATCCAACCCCACCAGTTTCTGACCTGGATTACTGAAATAATTTCCTGACTGGTCTCCACGCTTCTATTCTTGCCCCCCAAACCTCTCCTCAACCCAGTAGTGAAAAGTCAGATCATTAAGTCTACCAAAACTCCATCACAGCTCCTTGTTGAGAGGTAAGAGCTAGAGTTGCTATGATAGCTTGTAAGGCCTTTAGGGCCTAAGCCCCAGGTCACCTCCTAATTGGCTTGCTCCATCTTCTAAATATAGTACTCACCCTATATGACCATATTATAAAAATTATTTATTTAGTATACTTGTTACTCCCCTAACTAAATGTAAGTTTTACAAGAGCAGGAAATCTTTATCTTGTTCTTTGATGTATGCCAAGTGTCTAGAATAGTGGTGGCAAACCTATGGCACTCTGTTTATCTTTTAAGACAAATGATGTTAATGTATGAGTTGTTTTTTCTAAACTAAAACCTCAGTATTCAGGTTTAATTGTAGTGTTGGCACTTTGTGATAAGTAAGTAGGTTTTGGGCTGCATTTTGGACACTTGTCTCTAAAAGGTTCACCATCACTGGCCTAGAATCATGTCTGGCACACAGAAAGAGCAAACTTAAATTTAATATACTAGCACTGAAGAACAAGGAAGATACAGATGTTCCAACATGAGATGTCAAAGATATGCTAAGTAAAAAAGCAGGCTGCAAAATAGAATGGATACTGTAATCTCTGAAATTTAAATAAAAATCATATGATCACTTACATAGTTATAGAAAGTTGTATGTCTATAAAGAAATTTTTAAAATTTAATAATATTTTACCCTGGGGCCAGGGATTTAGCTCAGTGGCACCATGCCTGCCTCACAAACACAAGGTCCTAAGTTTGATTCCTGGCACAAAAAATTTTTACTCTGAAGAACAGGACTGAAATATTTCACATGATATTCTGAATTGCTTTTTAAATTATACCCTGAAGGGCTGGGGATTTAGGTCAGTGGTTCCACTGCCTGCCTTGCAAGCAGAAGGACCCAAGTTCAATCCCGAGTTCGATCCCCGGTACCAAAAATAAATAAATAAATAAATAAATAATACCCTAAACATGTTTATTTTTATAATTAACAAATTTATTATTTTCATTCTTAAAGTCCATCATAGTGAAACTACACTGACATCCAACCTGAACAGCAGGTTAATGGTTACATGGATTATGACCCAGGCACCATGGAAAATCGTGTTTACAGAGTGGGATGACAAGAGGAAATGCAGGTGATAAATTTCAAGTATCCCAACAGGCTGCAATGTTGTCAGAACAGTCTAATCTCAATTACACAACAAATGTATTCATGAAGAAAAGGTGGAAGGAAACATATTGCTGTATAACAATGGTCACCTCCTCCTCACCTCTGTTGACACTGTTCCTTTCATGTGATCCTACTTTTTTTCTCATGTTCAGTTCAGTTTAGATCCTGGACAGTTCCACACCAGCTCTCCTCCCAGTCTTCTTTTCCTGCTTTATATTTATGTATAAGGGCTCTTGCCTCTACAACCTCAGGTCCTATAGGATCCAAGTTCATTTCTTCCCTTGCCCCTTCTCATTTTGTTCCTAGAACCACATGGGTCCCTTTCCTCCTGGTTCATATGTCATTTTATCAGGGTCACAGCTACTCTGCCCTCTTACTCTACTCTGCTTTATCTTTCTCTATAACACTTAACACCTGACTGTCTCTACTCCCATTACAATGTAAACTCCAAGAACACAGAGAATTTTGACTATCTTGCTTATTACTACATACTCAATACCTAAAATAAAGCCTGGAAGTTAGTACATGCTCAATTATTAGTTATTGAATGAGTGAATGAATATATGACATTCTGAAAAGGAAATGGTGGGAGAGGTTATGGTTGGGACTAAAGAGGAGACAGACATCTAGTTTACATATCTACACATTTGAGACATCTGGTAATAAGTTTCAGTTTCAGTGCTCAAAATGCCAAAACAACATACCTGTTTATTCACAAACACCAATAAAACTGCATCTCTGAGCTCATCTTCTGCTAACATTCTAGTTAGTTCTTCCCGGGCTTCATTGACCCGCTCTCTGTCATTACTGTCAACTACAAAAATCAGACCTGGAAAGAAATCATAAACATGTCAGTATTGTGAAGCTCCAAAGAACACTGGTTTATATATCTGTACAGCTTCACCCTGCTTATGTGTGTGGTTTCACTGAGAGCAAATTATATGAAAGGATATATAATCTCGAGTTAGAAAGCTGGTTATACATTCAACTCATTTATCTTTTTCAGAAATATCACAGCAGAAGATGGTGGAGTGGTGAGCAACAGAGAAAGAGCTTCTCAGAGATTTGGTGTCCTGACACTGGAATATAGCAGCATGAGGAGAAGGGAAGTGGGTCCCTAGGACCCAGGAAAGATCTGAGGTGAGAAGTGAAGTCCATGGGGAGAATGAAGAGAGAGACTGTAATGAAAAGGAGGAAGGTAGCAAGCAGCGCTCTCTCCCAGAGCCCAGACACTTGGCAAGGAAATGGCGGGCCAAATCTGCAGGCGCACAGTGACTAGTGGTGACCCCAGAGGCCTCCACAAAGAAGCACACCAGTGGAACAGAGCAGTGGATGCACCCAACTGCAGTGGCTGGTCAGTTATCCAGATTCAGATGTCACCCAGGAGAGGGCAACTGGTGGGTAGCCACTTGCAGAGGGGCCAACTGAGCTCAGAACTCAGAACAGCTACTAACCAACCCCATGTAGTAGCTCCCAGTGCCTCGGTACAGGTGCTGAATTCAAGTCAGCAGGAGGTCAGAGAGCAGAGTTCAAGCCAGCAGGAGGCACACAGACCTTTGTAGGCTCAAGGAATCTGGTTCCAGCCTCATAGCCAGAAACTGGCCTGAACTCCAGAGGAACTAAAGGGGCAGGCTGGCTGGATTATCAACTACCCCATTGTGAAGCTGTGGCTGGCTTGCTGGGATTAATCAATTTGGATCTGGATTCTGTTTGCCTGCATTGCCTCCCAGTGACAGCAGAGATACACTTTGAATTGGATGTTTTTGGTTTTTTCTTTTTTTTCTTTTTCCTTTCTTTTTTTCTCCTTTCTGGTTCTGGTTCTTGTTTTGTTTTTCTTGATTGAACATGGTTTCTACTTGTTTTTGTTGTTACTGTTCTGTTTTATTCTTGTTTTTATTTTTTCCTTTTCTCTTTCCCACCTGCCTTCTTCACCAGTTTCCTAAAGTTTGTCCTCCAGTCTTGCTTCTGATATCTTCCTCTTCTTCTATTTGTTTTCCCCCCTTTAACCCCTTTTAAATCTTCTCCTCTAAGGGTAAAATTGCCATATTAAGGGTTTATTTATTGAATACAATTTTCAGATTCATTCTATATTTCATTATATAACCACAAATCTAGTTCAGATGGTTAAAGGCTGCAAATTAATAGTTAACCACAGTTTGTCATTTTCTAGGCTGTACTTGATGTTATTGTTATTGCTGATTGCACTACTTTGGCCAAGGTGACAAGACTGCGATTGCCTAAGGGTCTAAAAAAACAAAAACAAACAAACAAAAAAATCAGTAGGCCAGTGCCAAAAAACTGACAGCTGGGCCAAGCAGGCAGAAACTTCTCATCCCCAATAAATTGAAGAGGTAGGATCCTGCAACAGAATCAAAACCCAAAAGCCAGCTATACCTGGAAGACCCTTCTGAGTAGTCATTTCCTAAGGGTTCTGAATACCAGCAATAAAGCTACCCGCCATAAGCAATTTACAAGCACCATGAGAAGACACTTAAACAAGATGTAATTTCCCCCTACCCAAACTTTCAGCTCAACAAAGGCAAACCCCTCGGGCAATGAGGGGGAACAATCTGAAAGCCACCCACCTGGACTCCCTGAAGTGGTAACAGCAGAAGTAACAAAGCAGATGAACGAGGCTCTAGAAAAAAATCAAAGCAGAAATAATTTCCCAGATAACTACAAAGATGGTGACCACAATATAAGACTTATTTAGTGACACTAGAGCAGATACAGATTAAAAGAAAAATAGAGGAGCTCAGGAACATGATGGAAACCATGAACACTCAGCAAAGGAAAGAAATGGAAACCATGAACATCTAGCATAGAAAAGAAATGGAATCCATGAAACAGATTCAAACATATATCCAGGAAATTAAAAATTCTACTGAAAGTATACACAGCAGAATGAGCCAAAGTGAGGACAGAATATCAGATATAGAAGACAGGATTGTGGATAGTGATCAGGAAAAGAAAGATTTCTTTAAAATAGCAAGGGACCATAAGAAAACAATCTAGCAGATAATGCTAGATTATGCATTTAGCATAATGCAAAGATAATGCAAAGAAGAATAACATAAGATTGATCAGAGTCGATGAAAAAGCAGGAGATAGTGCAAATGACATTTAAAAAACCTGTTCACAGAAGCAATGGCAGAAAACTTCCCAAATGGAAAAAGAATTTGACACACAGATAAATGAGCCATATAGGACTCCAATTAGCCATGATGAAAAAAAAAAACACTTCACCAAGGCATGTAATAGTCAAGATTCCAGAAATTCAACATAAGGACAGAATATTAAAAGCTGTTAGAGCCTGGGATTTAGCTCAGTGGTGCTGCAGCTGCCTTGGTAACACAAGGTCCTGGGTTTGATCCCCGGGTACCAAAAAAAAAAAAAGCTGTTAAGAGAAAAGAAAAAATCACCTATAAAGGAAAGCCCATCAGAATCACAGCAGACTTCTCAACACAAACTCTCAAGTCAAGGAGAGCTTGGAGTGAAGTATTTCAAGCCTTAACGGAAAACAACCTCCAACCCAGACTGATGTACCTTGCAAAACTATCTTTCAAAATTGATGGAGAAATAAGATACTTCCGTGACAAAGAACATCTGAAAAAATTCATGGCCACCAAACCAGCACTCCAAAGTGTTCTGAAGGATATTCTAGAAAGAGACAAAGATTATGAACCCAACAGAATAACTCCACCAGGCAAGGCAAGAAATTAAACAGGAAAGGAAAGAAGGAAGCCAACAACAGAAAAATAACATGATAGAGATAAGGCAATACATATCAGTTATAACTATCAATGTTAATGGTCTCAATTCACCAATCAAAAGAAACAGACT